ATACGAAACGGCCATAATTTCGCAAACAAATGCCCGAATTTGTCAAATTTTAAATTTGGTTGTTAGTACGTCGATTTTTCATTCAGTTTTTCAAATAATTGGGATGTTATAGTTGGTTTCATGAAAGCTAAGAAGAATGCGGAAACAACAAGCAATTTGCGCTACGACCGTTCTCGTGAACAAAAACAATCAGACTTTCGGAAGATCGAGACACAACTTTATTAATAGTAGTCAATCAATCAGTACAAGAAGCAAGTGGTGTTAAGACACAAGAACAAGACTAGCAAGAGTAATGTTAGATGAACTTAAAAAAGAACATACATGTCACACAGTCCCAGAAAAGCATGTGGCAATAAATTTGTGTGAGTAATTTTTTTCATAAAAACACAAAACATTTTCGAAAAACATGCTATAATTGAAACGGAAACAGATATCCATCTAGGGTCAATCACTTTTAGAAAGATTAGTTTGCGTTTGAAAGTATCCCGTTTCGCCTAGCTTGTACAACATGGCGGGAAGGACGCTTGTTTTCCACATAAGCATAACATTTTTATTTTTAAGTTAATTTTGTTTTAATTACAGATAAATGAAGCAATAATTGTACACGTTTCGATATCGGACAATATGGTCAGCCAAGTGTGGCTCTTCTTCTTGGTGTCACATTGTTGACCACTGCTGAAAATCGTGGCTTAAAAACAGTTTGGTAATTTTGCGATTTCTTGGCAAATAGCAACTTTCAGTTGTTTCAGTTTCATCTTATGTGTAAAGTGTCCACTAAAAAACCTCTTATTAGAGACAAACCAGAAATTGCTGTTCATCAACAGTACCAAATGATTTTAAGAGTGATGCATAACTTAGCTTAGCAGTGTGCCACCACGAAGAAGTTACCTAACATTAAAATCCGAGATTGAAACGGGTATTATTATCTCTTCATTTAGATGCAATTAAAAAAAATTATCTTGAAAATTAAATAATGTCATATTTATGTGTTCAATTGATCTATTCAAGATATATACACAATATTTGTTAATGCCATAAGTAAAATTATTTTTAACAATAACCTATTTTTATTATCCTCTTATCCTCCCAGGTATTTTCACCCTACTCAACCTTACAAACACCAAAACGTTTCTACGTTACGAAAAAAACCAACATGAAATAAATTATGTTACGTTGTTTTTTAAACATGATACAAAATAAATTACGTTTCGAGGTTGCGAAAAGTAAATCCATTGATAGCAATTAATTAATTTATTAAAAGATAAATTTCAAGTGTCAAATAAACTGACTAATGGGAACAAGGCTTTGCATAACACTTTCTCAACGCGAAAACGGCTTTCATCCAATGGTTCCGTCACCTGCAGCAATTTTCGCGCCATTATCGCAGCTACAGTAGACGGTTATACAAGCCGCGTTTCAATACAACGATTGTTCTAATGATTTGTCCAGAAAGACCTCTGGCTTTGAACAAGGCTTGGGCGAGGCGTGCTAGTGATAGGTTTATATTAAATTTCGAAATCTTTAATGAAGTAATGAGTGTTATTCGAAAATACTTTTAGGGTCGTTCATTTTTCTTTAATAGATTTTAGAATTAAATTTTACACTTCACACTGAACGGAGTTTCTAGGTTCCACCGAATTTTTCTTTTAATGTTTTTTGAAAGCTATTACTTATTCCCGTAAATATATTTCATTATTTCGTTTGTTTAGGTGACTCATTAATAATTAGACAAAATAGTAAGATTTACCCCAAATCACTTAGATAAAATGTAACTTAATACTGATTTGTTTTTTGAGAAATTTTTATAATATAGATGATTTATGGACAAAATTTTAGTCCGCATTCATATAAGTCATAAATTACAATTAAGTTAAAACTTAAAAGCAAGCGATAGAACAGAAAATTTGTTTGCAAAAATTAACTAAATCGCTATAATTATACAGTAAAAATAAAGGGCTATTTACAAATATGCGTTTCAAAAAATGATAAGTTATTAACAAATTAAAATCATCCACAGTTAATATAAACATGAGAGCTAGATACCTCCGTGTGAACCAACTACATATCACTTGTAAAAGAATCTTTTATTTTGAAGATATCCAACAAATACGGTGTAATAATAGGATATCAAAATTACCAATGAAATGACAGGTATAAAAATAATCAATAACCAAATAACCAATAATAATTGGATGTTAATAGTTTTTCCCTTAATCTGGTAAGTATTTAATTACTTGCAGGAAACGGTTTGCAGGAAATTTAAAAATAAAGTATGGATATGATAAAATGTTAAGAAGCAAATACCGAAACAACATACAGGGCATTTTATTTAAATATTAAAGTAATTTTTATTTTTTGACATAGCGACCGACAACACCCGGAAGCTGAAAGCATCTTAAGTCGGCATGGTAGAGTAAGTAACTGATCAATTTTTGGTCAAATTTCTACGTTGCGTTACCATAAAACGTATAATGTTCCATTTACTGTAATACACCCTGTTGATACAGGGTGGTTCGCATAGTATGGGAGAATAGATTTTCTCAGACTCTGTTAAAAAAGTGAAAAGAAACAAAAGTTGTTTGAATTCATTTATTCTCTTAAAATATTATATTATTGTATAGACGGGGTGTTTGAATTTTTTTTATTTTAAATATCAACAAACACGTTTCCGAAACTCTGAGAAACTGCCAAGCTTTGTACTGTGTTTAAATGGGGTATACCATGAGATATTGTCGAGTAAGATGTCCGCCGTTGGTCTTCATGACAAACTGATTGGGTTTCTCAGGCCATACATATCAGAGCGTTCACTATTTGTCCAGCATAATGGCTTCAAGTCTTTTAAATTTACTGCCGCCATTGGTGTCCGCCACTTTTCCAATTTTATTAATAATATAGGCTCTAATATTTCAAGTCAGATTCTACTATTTGCAGACGACTTGAAGATGTATAGGGTAATAAGTCAACTAGATGACTGCAAAGCTCTACAGAATGGCATAACTACGGCTTCATTATGGTGCATCAAGAAGTAAATCCTATTATCTATTTCTATTGTATTGATTAATACTTATCCAGTAGACAGTGGGATGATCAGGAACCTCGATTTTAGTGTCTAAAATGATTACCTAGCTTTGGCTAAATTTGGTTAGTTTGTTGTACTAATTTGGTTCCCCATTTATAGGGTGCACATTAATAAATTAGAAATGATTCAGCGAAAATTTCGAAGGTACCTTTCCAAGTTGGATGGCTAGTTTGCACTACACAGACATGTCCAAGTCTGAGATTGGGCGCCTCGGTAGTATTAAAGTGTTGTTCAGAGCTACTTCAGCAACTTCATTTTCTTGTTTATGTCATATTTCGTGAACGACATAATATGCACTTACTGCAACCAAATACTTCTACAATTACAATAGGTTTGAAAGCGAGACTAGCATGGATTTATTCAACGCCAGTCTGGTCTTATTTAATAACACTGTTAACGTATACCTGACAGGTCAGTGATTTGTTGTCTTTTCCTAGTCTGACACAGTCATATATCCATATGGCTAAATATTTTTTATTGTTACCATTTTCTCATTTCTTTACATTTGCGTGTTATTATGTTTATCTAAGTATGTTTATTTTTTTGTAAAATTAGTGTGTTGAATTGTAGTTAGACAGTAAAGCTTTATTAATATTATTAAGCAGAATATTAAATATTTGTTGAATTATCCGGAAAATTCTAGACATAATTATATTAGAACAAAAAATGTTCAGATTTTCACAGTTTTTAATGATTTATGACAGCTGTTTCGGCAACACCTTTCCTTTATCAAATACAATATTCCGACACCTATACACATAAGCAGGTAGTAACATATTTTTAATTATCCGCATGGGCTTATAAATTTGAATTTAACAAGGGAGACGCATTTAAATCCAATTGGTCATTAACTAATAGATTCGAATATCTCATTCTGTTTATCTCCATAGCTTCCAACAAATTTAGTTATTATTATTATTAAAAACAATAAAACTAAATTACGAAAAACTCAAAAATCCGGAGTCTGCAAGTTGAAATGTGGATCATGTCCAAAAAATTAATATCGGACAAACAGGTTTAATCGTGTTAAATGAATTTTCAACAAGTAAAAGTCACCTCTGTCCAATTCTAGACAGAGTGACAAAAGTGACGTTTGCAAGTCTGAATATTTCTCCACTTAAAGCCGTTCTTATATGTTAGGGATTGATTTCTTTATAGAAGGATCTACTTTAATTGCCTATGTTGATATTTTAGAATTAAATAAATATACTGTGATCAAGAAGTATCACTAAAAATTTTTTTTTTCTAATGGAAATACCGAATTTTAATTAAATTATCTTATTTTACATAAAAAAAAGGCTTTGTATGATGCCTATTTTTTTTGTAGATTTGGAAATACTAACAATAAAACGTCTTTTCATTGTAAAAATGATGTGAGGCCGAAACATTGTGAAAAAAACAATCTAGCCCTGCAGAAACGTCACTATTTTGGCTTTTTTATTATGGTTATATTAATTTAAAAAAAGATCCCAAGTCTATAAATAAAGTAAATTAAAATGACACTTTATTATTTACAATATTCAAATTTTTCTATTAATCATTTGAAGCAATGTTCTTGTAGGTTTTAGTCTATCTGACTATTTTGCAGCAAATTTAGAAACTTTAGTGTTAATGTCTGATTGATTTTTTTTGCCATGCCATTATATTTGTTATTAATTATAATTATTTTGAAACTTGACAATAGGAAATCTTACACAAAGTCACCATTTTTAAATGCCAAATATAATAAAGTTTTATATACGATGTTTTCATTTCATTCAATTTTGTAATGTTAGTTTTTAGTCATTCTGTTTTTTTTTTCAAGATGTCAACACATACCCCACTAAGGCAGATCCTCTCATCCAGCACTTACGTGCGTTAATTGTTCAGTAAATAAATAATAATAATAATGGTGAGGCAATTCCTTTTCTGGTTGTTTCAGTAATAACCAAAGACCGTTGCAAAACTCCTGACTCGCCGGAAGGGGCCCGGCAAGCAAATACTCCACATTCGCCTTCTCAATCTTCACCACCTACACGTGACACATCTTCTCCCATCAATAATGGCAACCCGAACAGTTTAACTCCTCCACCTTTACCTGCATCCGCAGTAAGTAATATCACATTTATAATACACAGTTTATTATTGGAAAGGGAACAAGAATAAATGTTAAAAACATTTTCTTGCGTGATTGATGAGTTATTGAATATAGATTAGCTTGAATACTAAGAACATGATTGATTATTTTACGTAAACAAGTGTCGTTAGTGAATATTAGAGTGCACACTTGCAATGTTATTCTTATAATAAAAAGAAATGAAATTATTTTTAGGTATTATCGGTGTCGCTTGAAACTCCGCGACCCTTATCGGATCAGCAGTTCATTGGTTTTGGCGGATATCCTAACAGACAAGTCTCAAAACTGAAGAAATTCTTGAGCACTCTGGTACAATTTGGAAACGATATCAACCAAGATGTGGGAGAAAAAGTCAAAACACTGGTTTTAAATTTAGTTGTAAGTTAATCTTCGTACCAACCCGATAGCAGTGGCGTCAGACTGCTTCTGCGGTTTTTGTTCCCAATCACCCAAGATAAATAAACCCTTTGATTAGTCGAACCAATACTATCGTGGTTCTTGTTTTTGTGTTCTTGGACCGTTCTGTATATGTTCAAATCAAGACATTTTTCTTGGGTATATATTATGGTCCGTTACGTAAAACAAAAGAAGAAAGTTTCTAATTCGTAATAAATTTATTTAACGTTTCGACCGGTGTATTCGGTCTTTTTCAAAAATATCTAAAAAATTGACAGAAAATATCTAAAAAATTGACAGAACGAGAACAATAAAACTTACCCTAATTTTGAAATCGATGTAGAAATAAACACATTTAGATACAACACACAACGGCACGATTTAAAACTGTAGAAATAAAACTGAAGATATAAAATTGTAAAACAGAATTATAAACGGAGTAAATATTGACAATAACAATTTGTATGCGCGTGTCTGCGAATCTATCGTGCGGACTTAGATATCAATTGGCACGCGAAGCAGAACTAAGAAAGTACCTTTTTTTTCCCGGCGATGTTATTTATTTACTTCATTTTTTACTTTAGATTTAATGTTGTAACCCGTATTTATTTAGTTTTTAGATGATATTTTATATTTAAATCAGAATTGTATGGTAAATTTTACTAAGGCCTTTTGTGTCGGTTTTAAAGTTTATGGATTTTTTGTTTTTTTGAATTTCTATTGATTTGTAGAGTTCTCTTTTTTTAGTATTAGGCTCTGTTTTCAGTATCCTTACATTTTGAAAATCGAATGAATGTTTAGTTTCACTACAGTGTGATTGAATAGCTGTTTCTACTTTTGAGATACTGACTCGTTTGTCCAATGTACACACCATCGCAACCCGAACATGGAATTTCATATACTATGTTACTTCTTTTTCCATCTGGTATTTTTGCTTTAATTTTAGAGAAAGTTTACATCTTTGCAAAATGTAAACCGTATGACCTATTGTGACGTCATGTTCCTTTAGAATACCTTGATTAGATTTTACCTTGCACTGCAGTAAAACTAGTACAAAAACGAGTTGGTATACTAAAGAAAGCAGATCTACTACTACATTTTGAGTCGAACCAACCTATCGCCCAAAAAAAATCTCTTGTAATAGGCCTGGCAGATAATGCCAGTATATATATATATATATATATATATATATATATATATATATATATATATATATATATATATATATATATATATACAACTCCCAATCCAGTATGTATTTGGAATCTAAATTTCATTTAGGTATCTCTTATTACAAAGTTTTTTGAAATACCCAGTAAGTATATAATTTTCTAAAGCTACTTCAAACTCTCAAATGTGCCAGTGATCGAGCTGCAACTAAAAAATTGGTACGTACCTATTTTAATTTTGAATGATTTCCTTTCCAGAGTTCCAATTTAAGCATAGTGGATTTCCACAATTCACTGCAAGATGTTACAAACTTTCCGCTGCGGCCATTTGTTCTACCATTTCTGAAATCTCACTTACCCATCTTGCAAAGGGAGATCCTGACTATGGCCAGGATTACTAAACAGGTTGGTAAGATTGTCATGGTGTGTTAAATTTTACTATTTGTTTTTATAAAATTGTATATATACTACACTAAACATGACGGTTTAATCCGAATCATTCGAGTTCATTTGTTTTTTAGATAGAAAATTTTATTCTGCAATTATTTTTCTCTATAAAAGCAGTAATTGGTAATAGTTGATTTTGGCAGCCATTTTTGAGATACGTATATGCGAAAATTTTGTTGCTTTCATTTGTTGTAGTATTATGGCCAGGTTGAGTAAGATATTACAAATTTACATTAACTCGTATCAAGTATACCTAACATTTTTAGGTAAAAATACCATTGTTAACTCTCCTTTGCTATGCATCAAGTTTTGACATGAGGACTATAATTTTTCACCCCACCAAAGCTGAATATTATGACGATACATTTATTATTACGAAAATCATTTCTCAAAGAATAAAACCAAGTTGAACTTTTGGCCAGCCAGTTCAAGTAAATAATCTACTTGTATATGGAAACCTTAATGTTAAAAAAACGCCAGTTTAGGCACACGTTTCTTAAAAAACTATTTTAAACAAGGACGCTTTACAAAACTTTGTCTGTGTTAATAGACTATAATACGATTATGCGCATTTCAATATTGGTGTGATTGATTTGTCTCCTGGTAGTTGCTGAATTAAGAATATTTACTACCAAACTTTCTTAATCAGAACTCTGTGACAAGTGTTGAAACGTTCGTTATTCAGGAAAATCGTAAAGTGTGTAGAACGTAAAAGCCGAAAATAAAAGTTTAAAGATTTACCGGGAGAAACGTAATTAATGGCTGGCTGTATTGCAAAATGCACATGCTTGGCAGCAATAAAATTTAAGAAGGCTAGAAATTTAGGGTGTCGATTGAAGTTGATAAATTGCAAATATTTAATTTATAATCGCTTAATCCATTAAATTTTGTTGAAAGGATTGAAACAAACTGCCCAATCACGGGAAAGCTTTGTGATTGTACAAACCAGATTAATCCATTTCGAATTTCGAATGATGATCACGTTTACCATTTCTTAAGTTACAATTATCTGAAATTTAGCTAAAAACGTTCAACTCACCCCTGTTTCAGTCCGTTCTGCAATACGTTCGAAATAATGACCACGTCATTCTAGAATCCACACATTCACCGTCAGAAGCATCGGACATATTTTTTCCCACTGATTCTATGCCTATTGCGGGACTCAAACGAAGATCTTCTGACGGGTAAGTTTAATTTGGTAGTTAGTTTCAGCAGTAAATTATTAGTGAAAAATATGGTTATTCACATTACACGGTCTCGAGAGCTACAATTTTTGTATTTACGGTTTTCATTTATCGCATACGCTGCTCGAGACATATGAAAAAATCCATAAGAAAATGGTTATTTCCCGCGGTCAATCTAGACGGGATGAAGTCATTTGCTATTACAGTGTACTGCATAGTTTCAGAAAAAAATATTTTATCGGAAACCATTTACCTTATTGGGCAAATTCATGGATCGGGAAACCTGGGAGGTAACAGGGCGTAAAATCTTTAGTTCTCTCATTTTTTCAATTATGTACAATTATGTACAATTATGTACAGGTAATGGGTAAAAAATCTAAAAGACCCTGAAAATTGCCGCGAAGCGGCTTTGTGGACTGCATAGCGCGTAGCGGCATTAATCTTGTTTCAAATATGCTTGTTCTGATTAATGACAATATTAATTAAATTGATGATTACTTGAATGATTAATGATATACGCTATGAAAATGAAAAGAAATGTATAAATTTTTCAAGAAGGAACTTCTAAAAGTTATATTGAGCATATTGATGGAATTTCAGAATTCAGAAGGAGTATACAGAAGGTTTATTTATATGTTTAGGTTCATTGAAATTTTATAATTTCTATTAAAAAATCTGGAAAATTTAAGTAGTAGCAACATTGGTGCCAACTCGGTATATTTTATCTTCTTCTGAGAAACTAATTTGATAATGCGATAAACGTCGAAATAGAAGGGACCGAGGAGTTATTACTTTAACTCTGTTTATATATATACTTAGTTAATTTTTTTTTTAAGAATTCAATTGTAACAATTGTCAATTAATAATATAAAAACTTAAACTAATTTAATAAATAAATAGATCTGAAATCGGGCCCTATGGATAAATTATAAATTAAATAAAAATCAGCATGCACTCTTCTAAAGTCTTTAAATATTCCTAATAGACGCGAAACACTTATTTCAATATTTTCTATTTTTCATCAATATAAAATGGACACCGCTAGAAAATCTCCATCCCGATTTATATTAATAATAATAACAACCATAATATTCTTTATTATAATAGCAGATCGATAAGTATTAGGAACCCTGATGTACTCCTTAGAGAATGTCTACCCCGCTTAACATCATGATGATATTTATTATGTATGATACTTGAAGAATATCAGTTTTACTGTTTGAAGCTCAAACAAGCTAACACAGACGATCGTTCTCTTCACAACGTACAATAACAAATTTAGACCGACCGTTGCAAGTGACACACTCCGTATAACCACATCTCTTAAGCCCGGTAACCAAACAATCCGGAACAGAAATTCGTTAACATATAAAAGCAGCGTTCCCCGCGTATTGAAAACGCTTTATCCGGTTGTGAAATACGCCCCGAATTTCAGTTCATTTCATTCACAGGAATTATTTAATACCCAACGGCAATGGGTTTAGTTGTCGGGCTGAACTTACGGCTTCGTATTCGAAAGCCTGCCTAGCACGTCACCCGCAAAAATGCACCGAAATGCTGTTTCGTTACAATGGATATCGTAAATACGTTTTAATTTTAATATTTTATTAAACATTTTGGGAAAACCACGACGGCAACATTGATGCGATAATAAGTCCAACACATCGTCCAAGGAGCATTTCGACTTCGTTATCTTTTGGTTAGTTCACCTACAAATCAATTTCTGCCAAAGTTGTAATGTCAAGTGAAACGAATGCACGCACCAAGTGATAATATGGTGACGCTATAAATCGCTTTATAATTTATATTATAAGTGGACGTTGGCCGATCGTTGACAATGGCAACATAACCGTAGAGTGACATACTCAACTGTTCTCTGTGAACATAAACGTAATTGGTTTCAGTCGATATAAGGCATTCTCATAGAGAATGGAACGATTTTTTGCGCATGCTGCTAAATATTATACACTACTCTGCACTTTGAATCAGTTTCTTTCTAAACAGCGATGTCCACAGATTTAATTCATTTTTTTCCTGAAATTCTCTTCATTCAACATGCGCATGCGTGAAATTTCAAAACTTGTCTTACCGTTTCGTGAGAGACTGTAATGCCACATTCTTCTTCAAGTTCATGTGCAAGCGTTCGAATGGATACCATGGGATTTTCATCTACTTTTCTTCTTAAAACACGTTCTGTTCTATCCGAAATCTTACGTGGACGGCCAGTTGGAAGCTTTAATGACAATCGTTTCTCGTTTTGAGCGCGATTTAAAATATTGTACACTGTCTGCCTTGTTATGAAGAACATTTCAGACAATTCTTGAACCGTTTTTCCTATCTGCCGGTTATAATAAACCAACTGGATGACGTCCATGGATGTTCTTTTGCCGGGCATTTTAAAATTTTGACAGTTTATTGTTTTTAGTAATAAAAAAAAGACACACATTGACTAAATAACTTTCAACGATTGCTTGACTAAGATAAATTGTATTTCAAAAAGTAGAAACTGCCCAAGGTGGAAAATACGGATAAAAAATAAATTGTAAAAACATTTTCTTGACAATGAAATTCTAGACTTTCTTTTGATTTTTGATCTTATTTCCTAATAAAAATTTATAGGGGGTTTCCGTTGTCGTTGTTGGTTAGTAAATATGTGACTAAACATGAGTTAATAAAGGAAAATTTAAAAATGAAGTAGAAATTGTTCTCATCAATGATGAAATGCAGAATAAAAACTTTTTTTACTATGTCAAAACATTTCCTTGACTAACTGTATATATATATATATATATATATATATATATATATATATATATATATATATATATATATATATATATATATATATATATATATATATATATAAATCTCACTTGGCATCTTCAATGCTAGCGCTCCGAAAGCACTTCGAAGTGTTTTCGGAGCGCGAGCATTGAAGATGCCAAGTGAGATTTTGGCGAAACGTCTGCAGGATTCTAGTGGGAGTTCAACAAGCGAACGGATGATATCCCGGAATATAGTGTCATCACATTTTTCCATCCGTGAATCAATACGTATATATATATATATATATATATATATATATATATATATATATATATACAGTCAGTCAAGAAAGTCTTTTGACATAATAAAAAAGTTTTTATTTTACACTTCATTATTGATTTCAACAATAACTACTGCATTTTTAAAATTTTTCTTTATTAACTCATGTTTAGTCATATATTAGCTAACAAATAACGACAACGCGAAAAACCAAAAAATTTAAGATTAAGAAATAAGATCAAAAATCAAAAGGAAGTCTAGAATTTAATTGTCAAGAAAATGTTTTTACATACTAATATAAATTGCAAAATGCGGGATGCATATTTGATTCTACGATGATCAATATTTTGTGTGACTGCCATTAGCATCAATCACGGCTTGAAGACGGCGTTTCATCGAATAAATTAATTTTTTCACATATTCTGCTGGTATTTTATTCCATTCCATTCCATTAGAAATTGTTCTCATCAATGATGAAATGCAGAATAAAAATTTTTTTTACTATGTCAAAACATTTCCTTATATATATATATATATATATATATATATATATATATATATATATATATTGTGTGAATAACGCTGTTTAGAAAAAAAGTGTAAAGTGCGGTGTAGTGGGTGAAAGGTAGAGGCATGCGCGGAAGGTCATTCCCATCCCTACGAAAATATTATAGCCACTTGAGGTACATCGTAGTGAGGTCTTGTCTAATAGCTATGTGCATTAATCATATTTGCATGAATGGATGAATTCTTATTTATTTGTTAATGTTAAGGAAAGTGTATGACGATGCATACTTTAGACATTTTACCCTTGCATGAAGTTTTGGATGTTTCTATTCATATCGATTGTTAATCCAGTTTTTAAACAGTTTATTACGAAAATTTTAAGCAAAGTTTAAGTTTTACACGAATGCCAATCCAATTGTTCAAAAGTTAGCTACAGATTTGAAAATAAAATAATTATTTTCTTAACATCTTCACCCATTAACAATTTACCCATGCCACTTATGAAAAACAGTTAGTTTGATTAATTGAATAATTAGCATATTTCATTAATTAATTTATGACGTCATAATTGTAAAATTTATCGAATCGACTGGCTGCATAGATATTTTATTGCGTAGTAATTAAGTAATCGGAAGTTATCGACAAAAACAGGCGAGATTAAAGATTTTCTCTGAAAATTTCAAAAGTTGATGTCTACGTAATTAAAAGGCAAGAGTGTGCTCTGAAAGTGACATGAGGTGGGGAGTTAGGAAAGAGGGAAATGAAGGCAAGACCGCTGCTGTTGTTGACAGATGGCGCCAGAGGCGCCGCGTGTGCACCTTAGAAGCAATGGATCTACGATGCTCTTGCAAATGTGGTTGTTCAGTTTTGAATATTTGGTGCAATTTTTATCTAATTTCATACGAATGTGTATTAGAAATAAAGTGGGACTTTAAAACGTCGCATTATGTATGTACAATATAAAAAAACAACATATTTTGAAAATAATCAAGTAAAGTTCTGATGAACCTTTTTGAGTTATTAATTTTTTGAAACGATATCAGATATATGATATGATCTAATGAGCTACTTATAATAGAACGAAGAGAGTAGAATTTTCTGTTCAGTAGCCAACTAGTGTTAATAACCATAACTTACCCTTGTAACTTACTTTTAATGACCAATGTGGCTAGTGATCTGTATGCTAGGTGCACATGGTGGCAGAAATCACGAACCAGAAGACCTCGAATAAAACTTGCATGTGAGCTCGAATCTGTTTATGTATGTTAATTACTTTATTTCTAGTTAGTTCTTGACAAAGTTGTTGGGAAAACATTTTTGTGATATTTTTTGGTTAGTTAGAAGTTTAGTTTAGTTGGTAATATTAATATAACAAACATTGCACTAATAAAACAAACCCCTTTTTCTATCCAAACCATCTTTATAAAAATGAAAGCACTCGACATGTTTTTAGTACGGTTTCTCGCACTGTATCTATTCAGTCGATGACTGTTTAGAACTGAAACGTTAAGTACAATATAACAACTATCGAATAAATTAGTTTCATTGTTATATGTTTCACAACAAAATAAAATAAATACATGTTTTTTTACAGCAATAACAGTTATATTATTATTTTTATTTCTATTCTTTAATTCGGAAAGGTTGTGGTAAGCTGCTTGTTTTAGATCGAAATTATTAAGTCATTTCCAATTTTCATGTTGCCACTTTTTATTGTAGAGTAGAAAATAAACCAAGAACCCAATACATAAATAAAAGTCGAGAGAACGATATTCTAGAACGTCATGAAATTATTTTACACATGATTGTGAGTGACAAATAGTAGCTAAACAATGACCTGGCCGTGAAGATAAAGAGCACGTCTGTTTTAAACCTCAAAACAGTTATACATGTGGCTTACTGAATGTCTTAATCTTATATGTAACTGTGGCACTGAAAATTTAGATATAACACCTGAAAAGACAAATTATAAAACCAAAAAAGTAGGTCGCAGCCTTTTTGTATGAAATTTTTTGTAAGTTGACATTTTTAATCGAGTTTTTGATTATATATATATATATATATATATATATATATATATATATATATATATATATATATATATATATATATATATATATATATATATATATATATATATATATATATATATATATATACTGATGAACTGATGAACTGTACACCCTTGTGAAATCTTTGTTTAGGGATCGATTTTGATTTTTTTTTGTTCGATACATCACTGAAAAATGCACTAAAACCTTCTTTTGCTTATTGCTTCAACTTCAGTGCCTACGGGAACTATTTAACAAAAGAGAGAGAATGTTAATTCTTACTCAGGATTAGTTTGAACCCCCGTATATACGAATTTCTATAATTTTTCTATAGAAGGTATTTTAAATATTGTTTACGCCCCGCTTAAGGCTTTGCATCGTTTGTAAAATCTTTGATTACGGTTTGCTTTTGGTAACTTTTTTTTATGGATAGATGTTTCCATAACGCACTAACACCTTATGGTTATTTTTACATCAACCATGCCATGGCCAACTGGGACTAATTTTTGATGTTAAATATCGAAAAGGGCTATTAGGGATTTCTTTAAGAATAAAGTGTCAACGAATTCCTATTTACCTAAAATAAAACCTAACTATATTAATTTCCATGAAGTTTGCTTAAGCATTACTCCTTTAGAATGTTTGTTTATGTCAATCTTGATAATTCTTTTCTGCTGGATAGATCTTACTTACTGGATAGATAGTACTTTCGGAGTTTTTTTCAAATTAAAAATAACAACAGATTAGTATTCAGGACTACCTAAAAAAACTAGACCAATGATCAAGGTTTTTAATGTTTTAAAAAAATAAATAATGTAAACCTTGTAAATAATGATTATTTTGTACGTTTTAATATACAAATTTCAAAAATAATGATAAAAAAGACTTTTTAAGGGACACCTAATTTTTAGTATCATCTTAAAACAACAGCATTAATACATGTTAGTATTCAAAAGAGATGTAAACAAAATTAAAATATAAATTAGCGAGTGAATTTGACTGTCGAATATTCGCTTCTCCATGGCAAACTAGGTTTTTCAAAGGAAATAGTATGCCGACGTCAATCAATTTTGATATTTCTGTAATTTTCATTATTAGATGAGAATTAAAAATCCTTTTTAATTCAAAAAAATGCAGCGTTGTAAAGTCTGTTTAATTCATATCTAATCTTCTATAATCACATTTAAATTTAGGAAAATCGTTAGTATCTTTCAGTGAAATTTATCCAACAAAGAAAAATATCAAAATTGAGCCATAAACAAACATTCTACTGAAGTAATGCTTAAGCGAGGCGCCCACGATATTTGAACTTCATGGAAATTAGTATAGTTAAGTTTTACGTAGTCCCGAATAAGAATTCGTTTGACACTTTAGTTTTAGTGCCTTTTTGAGAGTTCGATTCAATAAAAACAATATCAAAATCAAACCGTAATCAAAGATTTAACAACGATGTACAGCCTTAAGACGTGCGTAAAGTTGAACCAATAAGCAAAACAACATTTTAGTGCATTTTTCAGAGACCTATCCAACAAAAAAATTATCAAAATAGAACCATAAACAAATATTTTACAATGGTGTACCGTTCTTAAGTATGACACACTGTAGAAAAACTGTTAGATATTGTCGTTTTTTTCCCAAAAAATCAAATAAACGCCTGTTCAGTCCCCTTATTGACGAATCCTGACCATGATCCGGAATAAGAAAATCCACCATGTACGTTACAATTTCGTTAAATATGCTGGGAACTAGTGAACCGGCGAACCAAAATGATTTTTTGTGCAGGCATTTATGAATGATTCAAACTGAATGGCGTTCTTAATAATAAATCAAGAGATTCTATATTTGTATTTTAGAGTATATGAAAACGGAATTAATGGGCAACACGGTGGTATAGACCAACAAGACTCGACACCTCATTCCAAACGACATATCGGTACCAATGCGCAAAACAATCCGTTCTGGTTCAGTCACCAACAGAATTTTTTTCTGCCTAACATGAACGTGACAAGTTCTCATCTGTTCGACTATAACCCTCAAAATAATCAGTCGGGTGTTAAATTGGAAGACAATGGTACATCTAAAGGGGACGAAGAGTGGAAGAATATCCATGTCATGTTGAACTGTATATTGTCTATGGTCGAGAAAACTAAACGGTGAGATGATTTTCATACAATTTATCTTTTTACCCTTCGAAAACGGTTTATCAATTCCTACGGCACTAAATTTGCACTGACTAAAGTTGCTTGCATTGAATAATCCATAATTTTCTTGAAATTTCAGTTAAAGAGCAATTGTAGGGCAACTTTAGTCTTTACTAGATCTATAATTGGATTCTATGATTAAAAATACCTAATTAATATTAAACTGGATTGATAAGAACTTTGTAAAGAACATATATTTTTTTAATTCAAATGGAAAGCGGATAATAAATAAATAATATAATAAAGACGCTTCTATTAAGAACGTTAACCAAAAGACCATAAATTATCTTATTTTATAATAGAACTCAGAGGGCTTTCAAGCCCGGGTCAGGACTTGGGAACACCGCGTTCCGTTGTATTTTTTGTTTTAATGATTAAAAGGTCTTTTTAGTAATTTTTTATTTACATTTAATTTTTTCGGTTTTTTTTGTATTACTGCTTTTATCAAACAATCGCTACGCATAATTTTCATGACGCAGAAAATAGGAATTTCAAAACAAATCACCCATCCTCGAGAGACCTAGCGAAATTGTTTGTTCAACCGAAAGAAGCTTTGGAACCATTTATTTTAAAAATTGAAACAATTGAAAATATATAAACTGAAATATTAGCATTTACCAAATGCAGAATTTTTATGCAGTTTATAAGTAATAAATTAAGTTTTACAAATCGAATTAAATGATATTTAAAACAATGCTACCACATAAATTAAGAACTTGCGGTTCGGAGAAAAATTTCGTCCCTGTTTCAATCAAAGTACGATTTTCTACCCTTCTGGGGTCGAAAATGTCATTTTTCAAGGGGGTAGTAGAAAAAACAAATTTCAGTCTCATTAGATTTTTTTTTAATGTCATCTGGTTAGTTAATTAATGATTAATTATCATTAATTAACTAACCATGTTGTTAACCATTATGTTAATCACTTTCAAAAAAACTTTTGCAAAACTGTGGCGATGATGTATAAAATTAGCCATCATCCCTGTTAAGTGTTCAGCAGTGTATTTTCCATCATTATCGACATTTTAGTGACGATGTAATTAATTACATATAATTATAAAAGGGCTCTTGCTATTCTCCAACAACGCAACGCCGCTCATCAGGATCCCACGTCCGATTGGTTGAGGAAGCAAGACGTAAGTGTCGATCTAAAAAAAGCTGCCAACGAAATACTGTCACAGGCTATCAGACAAACGGAAGAAAGGGTTGCGGACGTTCGCAAGAGAGCAGAAGATGCCGTAAATGAGGTTAAACGACAAGCAGTAGCCGAACTGCAAAAAGCAGTTGCTGCAGCCGAAGTCAAAGCTGGAGAATTATTGGCCGCCGAAAGAATTAAAATGGAAAAACTTTTAGTGGGTATGAACTTTTCACTTTAAATAACCTGTATCCAGCCTCCCGCCCGGTACCGGTATACCGCTGCAATGACGGCAAGATATAAGGGAAACATTTTTATTGGACTAACTAAACTTGTCGCTGCCAACATGCAAACTAAAACTTGCTATAAACGTCTCCCTTTACTTAATTATGCTATCTACGAGCAGAATAATATTTGCTTCTGGTTTGGAAAATTCTTAAATTTGAATTGTTTTGGTATTAGTATTTGGTTAGTTGCGAAAAAACTGAATATTTAAAATTTTGTCCGCTCCTTGACACACCTAACCTTTGTAAAGTAATGTAATAAAAAATAACAATAACGTTCATCGGCAATGATTAAGTTTATTTAGTGGCCTTTAGGTATACGGGGTAGTTCATTTCACGAGATTGCTTTATTCTCCATCAGTTTTAGTTTGATCGAAACATTTTAAATACCAAATTTATTTGTTCTTCATGATATTAGAATATATTCTACAAAGAAATTTGCCACTGGTAAAGAGAGTTTGTCGCCACAAATAAATTTCTGCTCTTATATTGTATTATTTATTTCTTACATTTGTTTTTACTTCAGAGGCGCGCAAACATTCGGAAGATCCAGCGACTACAAATCATTCTGAATTTGGAGAGAGTAACCAGTCGCCGTCAAGTCAACCGGCACCGTCTCAACAAAATGTAGGTATATCTCCATTAAAAAATAATACTATTTATGCAGCTATGCGATATCCAGGATAGGTTATGAAATCACATTGGCACTTTTCTAAATGGTACAAAGTGTAAAGTATCTCAGGCGGCAAATTATCAAATTTTTATTTTTCCAATGTTTTCCAAAACATGTATTTGAAAAGTTGGTGTAAATGAAACTCTATAGTTCCATACTGTTCTTTTTTTTCAAATTCTTTTTTTCGTAACTGTTGCCGAAATGTTCAGAAAATTGTAAAACACCGTCGTAGTTAGTATGTGGGTCTGTGTTTCGGCTTTTTGCAACTCTGTTTTAGCCTTTTGTTTTATCTATAAAAAAATGGCGAAATATTTAAGAATTGTTTGAATTTTAAAATGTAAAATTATGTTAGAAATTAGTATTTAACCAGCAATGCTAAACCTCAAAAAACGAAAATTTCGCATTTGATTTTGACGTTTAAGTTATTGTTTTTGTAATTTATCATTTTCTTTAGTCATGCTGGAACTGTGGCAGAAAAGCTCACGATACATGTTCTGGCTGCAGCTTAGCCCGATATTGCGGTCCTTTCTGCCAACATAAAGACTGGGAAAATCACCACCAAATTTGTTCAAAAGAAAAACGACAGTCTCTTGCTCCTAGTGTTTCGCCAGTCGTCGGAACGGCAGCAATAGTTACTCAACAGACCGACTCTCGAACCAAAAAGTGACACTCAAAGAAGGGAAGAAAATTTAGAAAATGTTATTAAATGTCCGATGTTGCACATGTTTCAAAATGTTGATCCACACATGAACCACGATTAGAAATAATTCAGCCAACTCATAATGTTTTTTAAGTTATTCCATATTATGTAGATATTATTTTCTATGCAAAGCAGATTTAAAATTTAAATAAACTAATAAGTTAGATCAAGTACAAGTGTACAAGTTCCATCGACTGGAGTTTTTACTTTCACTGCAATCAAATTTTAAACAATTTTGGATCAAGGTGGTTTTAATGATAGTATAAAATGAAAATGATGCAATAAAAATATATAAGATGAAACAGCTGTTATGTTTGGGTAACCCCTAAGTGTGCATTTTGAAATCCTTGGGTGACAAAAACTAATAACGAAAAAACTGACAGACCAAGCAATTACTATCATCATGTGGTATGTCGTAAAAACATAACTTCTGGAAATATAGGGCGCTTGTCTATGCTGATAATTCAGGCACTTTTGAATTCAATATATGGAGAACGCAAGTGTGGGATACTTTCAAATTTCGCTTTTAACCAACAAAAATTGTCATTTGAAACCAACCAACACGATCTTTCGTTGAACTGATTCGCGCATGCATACGCCGAATGACTTTTTCTGCTATATTTCTGGTAGCCATATGATTAAAATTAGATGAACATTATATAAAACACTTTTATTAACAAGCTGCATGATACGGAAAAAAAATAGAGGCAGTGTATAAAATATCATCAAATTAATAATCCATATTAACATATTGATATTAAATGACTCAATAAGCAATAAAATCGTACTCTATTAATCATTTTTACCTAATCAGATTTAAGGAAATCTGTAAGGACAGCCTGTTTGTAAACGAGCAACTATTTTACAGTTCAGGAGAATACGTACAATTAATGAATTTTCAAAATTTACAAATTAAATAGTTTACGATACCCAATTGATGATAATATACAGAATATTGCTAAAACATAAACGACATGCGGATATGAATTAGAGGATTGGTTTATAGCATTGGTTGAATAGGCGATACGCATTTTTTACAACTTCTTAAATTTTAGAAATTTGAAATAAAAAAAAGGTGAGTCAAGTATATTAATTTTGCGTTGAATTTATTTGTTATTAAATTATTTGTTTTAGGAGACGTATTTCTATATGAAAATTCTAGTGAAATTATGCAAACGTGACCTAAATGACACAGCTTCCTTAAAATTTTGATAAAAATATGAATTCTATGTTGTGAGAATTTAAATATATTTATTAAATGTCAACCGCCACATAAACCAAAAATGTTTTTTAATAGTTGTGTAATAACTCATAATGTCAAAAAAAAGCAGGCATTTTACACAATAGACAACTACGTAAATATTTGTTCTGTAGTCAATTTTACATGAGAGTAAAGAAATGTTAAATCTACCTTATTAAAAAATGGTCTGGGAATATATTCCATTTATTCATTACAGAGAGTGTAGTTCCGTAAGGCTTATTTCACAAAACTGTTAATTTGGGAAATTGCCATTGTTAAATGGTTGTGTAACATGTTAATTTGATCCTAATTTGTATTACAGTTGTGTAAATACATTTTTTAAATATCTTGTGTTTTTGTACTTTAGTTTACAGTCATGAACAAAGAATGAATAGAATTGATGTTTGTGTATTTAATTCATTTTTGAATCTGGAAAAACAAAAAAGTTTTTGGAGCTACATTGTTAAAAGGTTAAATTAAAAAAGTGTACTATTTCGGTAATATAGTAAAGAATGCCTTCTCTTACTGCAACTCCGCAGCTTGTAAAAATGCATAAAATCGGCTATTTCAGAGGGGTTTTCATAGTACGAATACATTGATTGAGTAACGTGTGACGCGACGGTCAGAACTAAGAAAAAAGTCAAAATAGCAAACACCGAAAATATCCTATTGTCATCAAACCCGTGGTCAATATTAAGATAACGTCGGAAGTGGCTCACAACAGTGGTTAAAGAAGCTGACGTCGTAAAGTGACACACACCAAGTATAGCATTTTTAAATAATATTTAATATAAGGAAATTTTGCATAAAATGGGTGTTAAAAATCAAGATGGCAATTACACCCCCCTGGTGATCATTTCAAAAACTAGAAAATTATTTCCAGAATTTTCTCTTAACCAATTTAATAATTTTTTTTTCAAATTTTCTCCCTAAAACATTGCTCTTACTCTTCTGGGGCACCCAGTATATCCTATGATTTTTTCATTTAAAAAATTAAATTTCCCAAGAGCTAGAGAGAGATTTATAACAATAACTGCTACTTCTTTTTGTGATTTATTTGTTGGTGCACTTTATGTAAAAATATCCAAAATTAGATTTATTTTTAAAAAAATTGTACGCTAACATGGTTTAATGTGGTTATTACTTCTATTTTAATATATCTGCGAATAATTCTTCCACCTTTTCAACATTGCCAAATGCCATTTTCCAATTTTCCTTATTCCTTTTAAAAAGAGTCAAATTGACTTTGGCTGCTATGATTTTTCCATGTTCTGAGTTTGACCAAGAGCCATCTTTATATATTAATTCCTCCATAATTTGCAACTTCATTTTCATATTAGCAACTTTCCACATGGCTTCAAATGACCGAGAACCATACTTTGAAGAGGCAAGCCCTTGGTATGTGCCCTGTAAAGAAAAATATGTCTTAGCAACTCAAATTACACATTTAAAAAAATATTTTATGAGATAAGCCATACACTCACCTTCATTTTTCTTAATAATTTTTCCCTACTTTTTTCTCCAATATATGGACTTTGTACAAATGAATCAACAACATGGCTGGCCATGCTATTAGAAAACAAATTTTTCAAATCAACAGTGTCCATATTAAGTATGATGTTGACAAGTTTTATGGGTTTGTTAAATTCTAACATTACTTGTAGCATTAATGTCCCTTGTAAACTAAGTTGTTCTTTATGCAAATTTTCATTTGAAACTTTTTGGAAACCTTTACTAAATGGGACAAGACGGCACATGCACATTACAAATTGTTGTTGCCTTTCCTCAGGTTCAAAACAGTTTAAACTTTTCATCATACTCTACAACAAACAATAACTTAAAGAACCTACACATACTATTTAAAACAAAGCTTGGGCAGAAATAAACATAATGGTTAGAAAGTGCTGGTTTTTAGCAAAACAAGGAGAGATTAAGTAAAATACATACTTGCAATAGTAGTCCTTGTCTGGTACCCAGACGTTTGCAGGTTTGGGTTAGAGCTAAAACTACAGAAGTATGATTTGCTTCTAGTACACCCTTTATATCAGTAGCCAATTCATCAAATATCGCTTCAAACTAAAATATATAACACAAATTAAAAACTTTCGCTAATAACTAATGTAAGGTTTAAGTCATAAAAGTTTGGGTAGTATCATTTAAATACAAAATAAAACTACCAGCTATTTTACAAACATACTACTTACTTGCTCTTTTTCATAACAGTGGGTTATTAATTTTTGAATTGCAAAATTTGTACTCTTCATTTTTGCCAACTGTAAAATTCTATTACTAAATAATTCATTGTAAAACTGCCTATACATTTTCTTTGAACTTAACTCTAATGATGTTTCTAATAATCTAAGTGCAGGTATGGATAAAAAACACTCAAGTAAAATATTGGTACTACTTTCTTTTTCCTTTAAAAACACTTCATTCAACAATTTTTCCAAATATAGCTTTAATAGATTTTTATCAGCTAATTTGAGAGATCTTAATAAAACTTGCAAAAATCCGGAGGTCCGTTCAGAACCACACAGTTCGCCAAATTGTGGCCACTGGATTAACCTTTCCCCATACTCTTTAACAACATCTAGAAATTCTTTTGGAATGTCAGCTGTTAATTCTTGGTTTATGGACAGATCTTTACCATGAGGCTTATGATCAATATTAGGCAACTGCACCAACTCAATTAGACATGTCCTTATCACATGATTACCATTTTGGTCCCAAATATAATCTTCCAAATTATTTAACAAGAATTTACTTGTTTTAATTATAAAATTCCTAAAATTCTCGGTTATATCCTCAACACCCTTTTCGAACAGTACTTTTTTGGTTGATATTCTAATAAGGCATTGAAAGACAAAACTGCCAAATTTATCTTTGCTTAATGGTCGAATATCTTTATCAAAAAGGCATATAAATCGCTTTAAAACATTATTATCAGCGAAGGGCAATAACATTTCCACTACCCTACACCCAACCTGGTTGCATGAGCACTCAATCTCCCGATTCTCTGTTTCTTTAAAAACATTTTGCACAAACGCCACTAAAACAGAATTCCAATATTAAAAATACCACACTGATAAGACTTAAAGTACTTTTATCGTCATCATTGTCAAAACCTTCCTTGTAAGCCTCTAAGACGCCAACAAAGTATTGGTATGTATCAGCATCCATTTGACTGCCTCTCCCGTACCATCCTTTTTTTGCATATTTCCTAGCATTTTGAAGGAAAGTTTTCTTGCGTTTTCGTTTGTAATTTTCATTAATTTCCTCATTAGACATTTATTGCTTTTTCTTTCTTACCTTACCACATGCAAAGGTTACACATAACCTACATAGATTCAATTCAATTCAATTCAATGATGCGTTTCACAGATAGCTGTTGGGCACGACTACCAGGATCATTCGCCCATTGCCGACTTCCGTCGAGGATTCTCGGATCTTCTCCAGGAAGGAGACAGAATTTTGAAGTTCTAAATGTCGAGGATTTTCGTATCTTCTCTGGCGAAGAAGACTGATTTTTGAAGTTCCAAATGTCGAGGATTGTCAGATCTTCTCCAGCGAAGGAGACTAAACTTTAAAGTTCCAAATGTCGAGGATTTTCGGATCTTCTCCAGCGAAGGAGACTAATCTCAGAAGTTCTAAATGTCGAGAGTTTTCGGATCTTCTCCAGCGAAGGAGTTCTTCTTTTGAAATTCTAACTAATATACATGATGATTAAAACCAACCCATAGACCATGAGCTAGCAAATCCAAAAGCGGTTATAAGCAGATACCACATGCATCAAGGAATCTAACCACAAGTCGTGCAACAGAATCCATACATCCAGGGTGAAAAAGTGCAGAAAAGGCACTAATAGGAGCGGGTAAGCTGGCATCAATGAGGGACTCATACAAAATTTGGGAGTTATTCCGATACAGAGCACAATCAAACAAAATATGTTCAATATCTCCCACCCCTCCACAAGCACACAGGTTAGATATTTTGACGTTTATCTTGTAAAGATGTGCTGGGGAACTACAATGATTACTCCTCATTCTGCACACTGTTGTAATCTCCTTTCTAGACAGCTGCAGTTTGTGGAACCATGGAACTGTTGGAGGTGTCTTATTAACTGCACTATAAAGTCTGCCCTTTGAACGGCCCCACTCTCTCCACTTGATGGCCCAGATGTGCCACATCTTTGCTCTAATTATCGGGATAAATTCACTAAAAGGGGGCCTTAAATTCAGCGGGTCTAAAAGTCTAGCTTCTGAGGCAATTCTATCCACCGTTTCATTATGTCTTATCCCCGAATGGCTTGGAATCCAGCATAACGATATTTTACCCCCAAGTCTGCGCTTCAAAATATCAATCTTTGCTTTAATATCTAGTAGAATGTAGCTGTTGGAAGCTTCAACCGCACTGCATCCGAAGCTCTTCAGGGCACTTTTGGAATCGGAGACAATCACTGCCTGTTTAATATTATAATCTAATATAAGATCTAGGGCGTAACTAATAGCTACCATTTCTGCAGAACAAATACAAAACGCGCTATTCAACCCATGCCCGACCCTAACATTGAGAGACGGAATAAATACTCCAAAGCCAACTCTATCATCTGGTCCCTTAGAGGCATCGGTAAATATAAATGTCTCTTCCCCGGTCCACATTTTAGAACAAAATTCCCGAAACTCAGTTTCATTTAGACCCACCCCTTTCTCAATTTTGGAATCAACAAAATTAATAGGCGTAAGCTGAGGGGCCAGGTCCTTATTAAAACACGCTAGAACGTCCCCACTATCGATAATATTATGATATGTGGCGGTGTAGTCAAATGCCTCAACTAAGGGTAAATTCGCCTTCCTTCTAAAAAAGTTATGATTTTCTTGATAGGCAATATATAACCGTTGGGTAGCTAAGAAACTAGGATTATTTCTGATTCTAAGGGACTTGACCAAAAACTTAGAAGCCAACATAATCCTCCTCACCTCCAAACTTGTTTCACAAGCCTCTCCCAATAAAATATTAATTGGAGTTGATTTCATCATACCCAATGTCACTCTTAAAGCCTGATATTGAATCCTATCCAGACCAGACAGGGTTTTTTTCCCACAGCACCCCAGTACCATAGAACCATAATCAAGATGGGAACGCACAAAAGCTTTATAAAATATCAGAAGAGTAGACGGATGGGCTCCCCACCATGTCCTGGATAGAAATCTCATAATATTAATTCCACTAGCTGCCTTGTGAATCATTCTGCCAACCTGTGGAACCCACGTAAGCTTAGCATCAAATGTAACTCCCAGGTACCTAATTTCATTTTTCCAGGGAATATTTACACTATTAATTACCAAGTCGGGAAGTCCAGCCAAAGCAGATCTAGAGAATAAAATAGCAGACGACTTTTGCGGACTAAGCTGCAAGTGAAACCTATGCATCCAATCAACCACTGCCACCAAGGCTTTATTCATCAAGCCTATAGCAAAGAGGACATTGACATCGCTACATAGAAGAACAATATCATCCGCATACTGGAAAATAGAAACCCTATGAGGAATTACTAACTTAATTGAATTTACGTATATATTGAATAAAAGAGGCGCTAAGGGAGATCCCTGAGGGACCCCCTTACTGGTTGATCTAGGTCCGACCAAAAGGTGCCCAACAGCATCCTTAACAAATAGGTTCCTGTTGAGGAGAAGTCGATTGATTAACCCTATAGCATCCCTAGGTATACCCTGCTTATCCATCTCTTTTATTAGCATGGGGATGTTAACATTATCATAAGCACCCACAATATCCAATGCAACCATAACAGTAGGAACACTTTTGCTCTGAGCACACAAAATATGACTTGTTATGATGGAAACATTATCCATAACGGACTTACCGCGCCTAAAGCCGGTTTGAGATTCTGATAGCAATCTGTGATGTTCAAGAAACCACTCTACTCGGCACTTTAATATTGACTCCAGCACTTTACCGAGTGTAGATGACAAATTAATCGGCCTATAAGAACTAAGAAGATTAGGATCCCTAAACGGCTTTAATATTGGAACAACCAGCTGCGTCTTCCAACTATCAGGTATACTGCACTCATTTCTCAATAATTTGTTATAAAAATTCACTAAGAACACGGCTCCCTCTATTGGTAGATGCTTTATTAACTCAAAAGAAACTCTATCCAAGCCGGGGCATGTGTTTTTACGACTTCTAACTACAGCGATAATCTCATCAAGAGTAAACAAGGGAGAAACTGCAGTGTTGTTATCCCCCTCTAAACTTGTCTCCTCAACGACACCATCGGCATGACCCACTAAGGAGTCCAACAATTCCGCCGGTACTGAAAAGTTAAGTGGGAGGTGACAATTAGCCCGGTTAATAGCCTTTGAAAATCTTTTCACACATTTCCATACATACCTAGCACTCTCATTGGGAGATAAACTCTGGCAAAATTTTTTAAATCCCGCCCTTTTCTTTTCTCTAAGAAATTTTCTACAGCTGGCCCGAGTTCTTTTTACATTAACATAATTCTCTAGAGTAGGGGAAATTTTATAATTTCTAAAAGCCTCTCTCTTTTTAGCGATCATTAACGAGCACTCGTGATCCCACCAAGGAAGTCCACATTTACGCCCGCTCTTATGAAGGGGTATGGAAGCATCAGCCGCGTCCATGACTACCTTGTAGAACTGGTCGTATGACGTAATAAGGGGGTTGCTTAAACCAATACTAATCAATTCAGAGAATTTGTCCCACTCTGCCTTAGAAACATTGTGCTTTAGGAGATACACTTGAGCAGGATGATGTAAACTGTCCGGTTTACACCGAATATGACACAGTATCGGGAAATGATCGCTAAACCCTCTGTCGAATAACACCCGGAAATCGGCAACATGAGCGAATTCGTGTGAACAAAATACCAAATCGGGGACAGAACGGGAGTCATTCCCTGTAAATCGGGTGGCAGACCCGTCATTAAGAATAAAGAAGTTGTTATCATTAATAAAGTCTGATAGTAAAGAGCCGTTAGCTCGACCGACATAGCTTTTAATTGTAGAGCCCCACTCTTCATTATGAGAATTTACATCACCAGCAAAGAAAACGGGTTTTGACCTAAGTCTATCAACCAAAGTATCTAAGAACAAATGAGACATAGGAAGGTCAGGAGGATTATACATCGAAACTAGAAAAAGGCTGTCCATCTCCAACACTATAACCTGACATCTATCCGGCCTGGGGATATCTGACACATCTAAAACATTATACCCGATGTTGGAGCGTAAAAAAACAATAATCCCTCCATACCCATCCATACGATCGTCCCTGACAAAGGAGAAACCAGACAAGGAAAACTTGATATGTGGGAGTAAAAAAGATTCATTAATCATGACTATATCCGGACCAAAGTCACGAATAAGTCTAATAATACTATCACGATTACTTCTAATACCGCAAGTGTTCCAGTGAATAATTGAGAAATTACTAATTTTAACAGAAAGATTTGACTGTCGATCTGGGAACATTAATAAATTAAAACCTGCATCCTCCGGGAGGAGGCAGGGAGTCAAAAAGACTCTCAATTTCATGGTATGCACTTTTACTGGGTATATTGGACAAAACTTTTTTCTTTAAATTTTCAAACCGATACCAAAATTCACCAGAGGAAGAAACCCCTGGAGAAGCAGTGTCCATCTCGGACTCTGACGATAAGTCATTTAAATATGAGGGAGAAGATTGACTTTTGCCAGTGTGATTCAACTTCTGCCTAGTCAAAGGCGGCACGAGACAATCCCTGTGGGCGCCCCTATCATACCCTGGTTCTATTTGGGGGGACTTACGCTTTTTTGCTATGACAGAATAAGTTTTAGAAGCAGATCTAGGGCAACCGTGTTATGAATAGGAGGGAAATTTTCATTAGAGCGATTAAACTCACTTGATTTGGGGCCTCTTGGAAAGAGTTTGGCCGCTTCAAAAAAGGATAGGTTGTACCATGCCGTAGCCTCATTGATTTTCTTCTGTCTGTCCATTTCCGGACATGATCTATCAGTGGCCTGATGAGAGCCTTTACAGTGGATGCAAGTTGGCTTTGGAGATATTTCGCAATTACCCAGGCTGCATTTACCTTCATGATTTAAGTGGTCTGTCGGGCATGGTTTCTTCTTATAAAACTGTTCTTTCAGTTCACAATGAAATACTGGATGATCTCCAGCGCAGAAACTACATCTACCCATGATACAGATTGATTCTGGAAGAGTTTTACCCTCAAATGTTATTATATAATCATTAGATGGAACTGTCTTGAAACCAAAAGTACCAGGCTGAACACCTGGGCATTTGACCCTTTTAGTTAGCCTGCGAACATTAACAATCTTAACGCGCTTTAGCGATCTTCCGATGTTAACCTTGGCTTCTGCCTCAGAGTAAAAATCATCCTTATCAATTAAGTCACCAATGTCCCTCACCAACCCTCGGCAAGTGACTAGTCTTTGAAGTATATACTTATTATACCCACCAGCTGTCGAATATGTTTCATTAGATAAAAATTTATTTGCAGACTCAGAGGTGTTAAACTCCAAACCGATTTTATTGGCTCCTTTTCTAGAAATTTTCAATATACCTTGAACTTTCTGCGCTTGAAGTAACTTCCCAAAGTTCATAGGATGAAGAGTCCCCACCTTACTTGTAATCCCCTCCAGAATCACCATAAAAGGCCCCTGGTCGGTGATTTCATATTTTGTTTTCCGATTTACTGTCCTTCTTATGTTTGCGGAGATTTTGGCAAATTCCCGCAGGATTTCAGCGTCTTGCTCGAACTGATTCTTGATAATCTGGATCTCTGCCGATAACTTTGACAACTCTTCACCTGAGGGCACATCAAAATACTGGAGCCTAGAAATATCTTCAGCAGTTTTTTGGCAATCCGGTTGGATAAACTGTCATTTTCTTGTGCAGCATTAACCGTCGGGGGGCCCTCGCCCCCCGAAGAGTCCACCATGGATAAGGTTAGAGGGCCAAGAGGAGGAAACTACCAGCCACAGAAACTGATATATAACTGGATGCGTTAAATGGACTCACCAAATAACAGAAAACAATTAAAATTAGGGCCGATGCCTAAAGATGTGCACAACAATACTCAGGTAATCTTCACTCCTTCGCTGTTGTACCGAAAAAAAAACAACCTACATAGACGTTTTACAAGTACAATAATGCGTTTCACAATGACCGTCGGGCTCTTCCGCTAGGATCATTTGCCCATTGCCGACTTCCGTTGAGGATCCTCGCTTTTAGAAATAGACCAACATGTACAATGAAGAAATATAACCAATATTTTCTCAACTAGCAAAAAACAATTTTGACCGAAATCCAAAAAAACCGTCATCCGGACCATCCGGGCACATCCGGCCTCCATACCATCGTGAACGGGGAAAAACGATGGAGTCAGCGACAATTATCATTTTAAAGCATCCACGAAACACTAAAAACACTAAATCCACCCAGTGGAAACCGATATCAAACTTTTGGGGACGAATACAATGGATTCTGTTGGGAGCGAACGAAGGATAAACCGCCACATGCAATGCTCCACCACAGAATACACTGATGTTTTATGTGACAACGACGGATATCAGTACGGTATTATGTGACGAGTTTCCTAAAAATTATTCTGACTGGCCGATTGATCCCAGCCACTTTGGCCAAAGAAGATAGAAAATATTACGAGTTTTGACAGAAAGTACTATCAGGTATTTTCACAGTGATAAGGGTAGATTTTACTCTCAATATTTTGGCAGATTTACCAAAATATTTCGCAACTTTACACCAGTATCCATTTACAATTATTTCCAGTTTCTAGAATAATTGATATTTCATAATGAAGTGGTATAACGGAGGAATTGCTGAAGCGATAACATCGTCGAAAACAAAGGGGGCAATATTTGTAGTGTATATCGAGGGTAACAAAGTTATATTGTGTTTTGTTTCCTGTAAAAAAATATCCATTTGTAGGGAATGATGAAAAGTCTCAAAAAATTACTCAGATAATTAATGATGTAAATGTATCAGCAAAGTTGAGCAGTGATAACTTTGTGGCAATTAAATTAGAAGCAAACTCTGTGGCACACCAGCAGTTTAGTGAAATATGTATCCTTTATCTAATGCAATTTTAAATTGTTTTCTGATTGGCTTGGAGATATGGAACAATGAGTTTGTTTAATGCTTCTTATTTTTATTTATTCTCAATACATATTATGCAGATTCTTGGTGCAGTCATAAACTAATCAGTATTTAAAATAAAAAATAGAAATGACAGTTTTTCAGTATATGGTTTTCTCAACATGTTAGATGAAGATTACTCTATAATTATACTTTAGATCTATAGACACAACTTCACCCGAGAATCTGAATAATTATTGGAATAAACTGAAAAATCAAACATTTCATTTTTGATTCAATACAAATTATCTGCTAAATTTAGGAAAAGTTGTTATCAACATGTATTTTTCTGTACTGAGGGCAGTTTTGAAATGAATGTTTTTATTTGCAAATTTGTTATTTATTTTGAATGCTTTTATATTTTTTTAACACTTGTTAATAATTATATGAAACTTTAATTACTGATAGATAAACAAGCTTCTGTGCCTGCAATTTATTTAATAGGAAAAGATGGGATTCCTCTGGAAATAATAACTGAAGCGGCCAGTGCTGAAGAAATTTCTAATCACCTGGATTCAATTTTAGAGGGAAGCACAATTGCTGGTAGAAATAGTTGGAGATATGTCATTGAGATACCCTTTACTGAACTCAATATCATTTTTAGGGTCCTCATCAAAAACTTTGATTGATAGGGAGCAAAAAGAAAAGCCAGTAAGTGTTTGTGAAAATAAAGTTTGCACCATAAAGCAAAATTCTGTCACTGGTAGTTCAGTTTCTCCAGAAGCTGGTGATGTGATAAGCAAAGAAGAGAAAATTGAAAGAGCTAAAAAGTTGTTGGAGCAGAAGAGACAGGAGAAACAAAAGCAGGAAAAGGAGGTAAGTTGATTTAACAGATGGCCATAAGTATTTTGTTCATTCTTGTATTGCTTTTTTTATGGACACAGAATGAAAAGTTGAAAGAGTTGGAGCGTCGTAAAGTTGGGCAAGAAGCACAAAAATTTAAGATGCGGCGGGAGGATCAAGAGCTGAAACAACTGATGGAAGAAAGAGAAAAGGATAGGAAGTTAGAGAAAGAAGCACGGGAAAGAGTTTTGGCTCAAATTGCCCAAGATAAAGCTGAGAGAGCTGCCAGATTTTCTCCAGCAGCTTCATCAACACCAAAAACTGATGAATTAGCGCGGGTAAACTCTTAAAAGCAGAAAGCCTGTCCTGTACCATTTACACTAGTTTAAAGAATTTCCAATGAATATCGACCTGCAACGTGATCATTTACAGGGTGCAGAATCTTTTTAACTTTAATTAATTGCTGATTGATTGATTTAGTACCTACTTGTGACTCAAATATAAAAAAGCACATATTTTTGGTTTCATGTTCTATTTTTATTCAAATTTGATTAGGGAAGGAATGGGATCCTATCAAGAGCAAAGTAATATAACCTTAAATTACAATTTTTATTTTAATTTGATACAAATTTGTAATAGGTAAAATTAAAACAAATTGAGTTACTCTAAAAATGATCACAAAATGGGAGGTTACCTCTTGGATGTTTTTATAAAATTTGAAACTGTAAGGCCATTTGATAGTATTAAGATATTTCTATTTTTGCATAATTTTGTTTTCGTCAAATTATGCCATTTTCGTCAGCATTTCTTACTTAAGCTGTATTTTTGTGATCTAGCGCCTAGATGTCTTAAGAATTTTGACCCCAGCGATCATGTCATGACATTAGTTTGTTTTATGGGATCTTAACGGATTTCTTAGGCTAAAAGATACTTGCGCGTCTTTTGTTGTTTGGGATTAGTTTTGTTTCTATGTTTAATGACTAATTGTTTGGAAAGGTGTAAAGGTTTCCTTGGTCATTCTAAATAAAAAGAATAGATGATGTTTAAGGTATCCCAGTACAGCCATTTTCATTTGTCATTATCATATCAAAATTACATACTAACTTTCATTTGACTATGATAATGTGAAATTTGCGTGAAGGTGGGAGACAATGATTCAGTAGAAATACTAAGAGAGTCGCATTTTTGCGATTTACACAAAAATATTCAGTAATGACATCGTAATACAAAATGCCATTAAGACGGTCTTTAAGGTTAAGTAAGACGCCAAGTCCCGAAAACGGGGCTTTGATAGATATGAAGATATATTTAAAAAAAAAGTGTTTTGACTTATACATTTCTTTTCTCGCAGCCCACTCCGGGAACTTCTAGAAGTCATCAAGAATCCAATGCCGCGCGCTTGTTATTTAAACTTCCAGATGGATCAATAAAAACTCAAGAGTTTTCAAGTTTTGATAAGTTGCAATCAGTAGTAAACTTCATTAAGGCAAATTTGAATTTGCCTTTTACCAATTTTACTCTTTCAACTACTTTTCCAAGGTGAGTTTTTCCATTTTTGTTTTATTATATTTTAGTCAGCTTGTGTAATGCTGTAGAATTTATGTTTTATAATTAATTAAAGCCAATAAGTTTTTGTTTAGTTTTTGGTCGCCATCTTTACCAGAAAGAACCCAAATGTAGGAATGTATTTCCTATCTTGTAAAGGTGGCAATCATTCTTCAGTGTCTATGGTTTCTCCCTATTCACTAATTAGAATTTGACTTTAGAAAGAGTAAATGTACATTCTCTGTTAATTTGCTTGCACTACTTCACCTATGAGCTTAGGGTATGTTTATAGTAATAATAATACTACTCATTTTACTTATATAATATTTCTAAGATAAAAGGTGAGGTTTAGTTTTATGTATAAAGCATCAAACATTCAAATTTTAAGTTTTATTTTTTTTTTGGATAAGATTGGTGGGACTGAGGAAGAGGGATTAGATAAGAAATAGTGGCAAAAACGCAATGATTTTTTTTCCATTTTAGGAGGCAGTTTTCTGCAAATGATTATGCTGAAACATTATTGGATCTTCAACTTACGCCAAATGCAGTTATTTTAATTTTGCCAGTGAATAGTGGCGGCACTGTATCAACAAGTTCAGCTTCAGGAAGCGTTTCTGGCTTCATTTGGAGCTTGTTTGTTCCATTATTCCAGTTGTTTAATATTCTTAAGGCATTTATTTCTGGCGGGAACTCCAATCATGATGGCAATGGTGGTGCATCAAGTAGTAGAATTGCCAGCAAAAGGTAACTTATATGTTTCTTTACTTCCCAATACAACATCCCAAACTTAGTGGAGTAAATGTCTTTAAGTGGTCTAAATAACAATTTGTGGTTTCATAGTTTTATTCATTTTTGAAAAATTTTAAGTGCTTTGCTGTAGTTTTTATAACTTATCAGTGAATGTGTAAAAAAAGTAAAGGTAAGAGAAATTTGGGTTTTTAAAGTATACAGTATATCAGTAAAAGTCTATGGTACACTCTTGGTTTTGCTTGATTCTAGCACACATAGCGTTAATTTGAGTATATTAGTAATACAGTATTTATTTTGTTGCAAGATAAAACAATATGTTGGAACATAATTGCGTAGGCTTTCATGGCCGGCGTCATAATCTGTGAGATTTTTCTGGCTGTTAGGCCGTGGTCCATTGGTTTTGCTACCAAAGCTTTCAGTTGCTACTGCGGCCGCCATCTTCAGTGGAACGTAGATTGTAGCGCGACGACTGTATCGGTACTGAACAGTACCGTAGTAGCAGTAGCAGCTCAAAGCTTTGGTAGCAAAACCAATGAACCATGGTCTAACAGCCCGAAAAATCTCACAGATTAATATGATGGAATCTTAAATTGCTAATCTCAAATTTCGTTTTCAACGTTTCAAATTTATATTAATATTATATCGACTTTAAGATTTGGAATTCTATGACAAGATACTGCCAATAATTTGTCGTGCCCTTCGAGTTTTTGTCTCTTTATTTCCACATTTTGCATAGTCACAAAACCAAAGTTTTCCGCTTCTAAATTAATCTTTTAGTATTTGAGACAGTTACAATTTTTTTTGTGGTATGTTACTTAGTAAGTACTGTGTCTAAGCTGACGATAACGAAAATTACATTTTGAGATCTTCATTTGTTTTTCAGATCATCAAATTGTGTAGTGCATGTGAGGAGCAAGTATGACTTAGATAACAGACTGAAATCTGCAGGCAGCAAATTAGTTGTGATAGACTTTTTTGCAACATGGTGTGGCCCTTGTCAGATGATTGCGCCAGAATTAGAAAGAATGGCTTATGAGTTTCCAAATGTTGTATTTCTGAAAGTGGATGTTGGCGAAAATAGCGCTATTGCAAGAGAATACAGCGTCTCCGCCATGCCTACATTTGTCTTTGTTAAGAATCGAAGGGAGGTTGCAAAATTCAGCGGAGCTGATTCTTACCAACTCAAATCTACTATTCAGCGCTATAGATAAAATTAAAATTAGTGCAAGTATTCAAACTTAATTCACATTCATACGTATTATATTCTTTAGTTTAGTATATTTGTGAATAATACTAATAAATAATTTAAAGACATATTGCTATATGACTGTGGTATTTTTAAAACCCACCTCGAATACTCCATCCTTCAAATCTCCACTACTAATGAGAACAAAGAATATCTCACAGGTTTGATGTATGTCAACGCCAATCAATAACGCAAAAATGAATGATTGAATCCAAGACCATGAAATTGATAGATATTTAAAGAGTCTAGCAATAAAACCTTAGCAATATACATATTTTACTTTGACAAATTCCAGATGTTTAATATAGCTTTTTCACGCTCCACTTTAAAATATCTAATTATGCACTGGCCAGGCGTGCGCAAGGTGTTACTTTGAAACGTCAGCCGTCATTAAACGCTTTCGCGAGCCACTTCGAGAATTTTCGGTACTTATGTCACGGGTTCGGAACTACGAAATGGTGGTATTTTGACATTTGTCAGTTCTTACGGTCATGTCACACATCGCTCAGCGTATGCCATTCGTATTGTTTTGCAAAAATGTAAGAACTGACACGTCAAAATACCATTTACCGAAAATATCGCATCGTTCTCGAACCCGTAACTCATGATCCGATAACGTCGGAAGTGACATAGGACCTTCTTAAAGTCGTGACACTTTCGGCACGCTTGGTCTAATTCTATCGCTATTTGTTACTATAATTGAATGAGACAAAATAATGGTAACGTGTATGGCAACAAAGTATCGTTTTTTTTTCTAGACCAGAAAATCCAGTACGACAAAGGGAACGTTCAACCACTGTAATAAAAAAGGAGGGTAACATACGGCGTCTAGGGGATATTAAAAATGACGACGATGACGACACTAACACCTGGAATGGTAATTCCACTCAACAACTATGATATAAAAAATTGAATATAAATTTAAAATGTTTAATTATTAATTTTGCAAATAAATAAAATCGAAACTGTTTTTTTTATTCCTTTGATAATGCATTTTTTTTTTGCTCAAATTGAAAAATGCTTTTTACTCATATTCTAGAACAGATATACAATATTCACTTTAGTCACGAGTTTGTTTTGGTACGAGCCGAGCGAGTGTTTAATTAACGAGTGAGAGAGGTTTATCGACGTGCTGGTTACTATACTTTTTCCATGATTAGTTTTTAGGTACATTTTTGCAAAACAGCACATATACATTTATTGGGTGACGTGTAACGCGACCATCAGAACCGATCCGTCTAAAGTATCGTCTGACGTCTTAAAGTGACACTTTGTGTCCCGCTTGATCAGTGCATAATTAGGTATTTTAAAGAAGGGAATAGATAAAAAATATGTACCAAATATATTCTATATTTCCAATAAAATTCAAAAACGTTAAAATATTTCGCGTTAATTATATGTGCCTTTTTCCAAATAACCGATTCAATTTTATTGGTGGAGAGCACACACCTCTAATTAATTAATTCAATGGACTCGCGTCTTTACTTAGTCTTTAGTCGGGCAAACACAATAACACCCAAAGCTCCCGGTGGGAATCGACCCCACGACCTCCGACAAGTTGCTAGCAATTTATAGCAAGGATCTGCAAACACATAAACTATCAAAAGTCGAACAAGTCTATTATTCTTGCAAAGTTGACCAACTTCACCTTAATATAAAGAAAATGATGCTCGATGGGATTTGTAGAACTTAACACTCTGTATACCTGCATGCGCAAAATTAACACAATAAATTTAATTTGTTAATGGTTAGTGGAGCTAACGCCCATAGGGATTCACTAAAAAGCCATTTAACTGTTTACTTAAAATTTTAAATCAGTGTTAATGTTACTGCCCTATATACCTGTCTACTAAAATTAAATGTTGTGATCAATTTTTCAGTGTTAAATAGTCAAGACGGAAAGTGTTAAAGTTCTAATATTAGAACTCTATATGGGGTGTCCAAAAAATATGGAAACGGTGGAATATCTCGAGAGTTACACCAATTGATGAAAAAAAATCCTTTGTACGAAGTTTTCTTTTGGGTTCCCGGTGGATAGCACTGCAATGACAAAAACCGAGTTATCCCGTTTATTAAGAAATACACGGGTCAATGTTACGAATCCGACTTTAGAGCTACCATACCTTCGTTTTAACATATTTTTTCTACTCGTTACTCTAAAATACCCATTGCACAAAGCAGGTGCAAACTGTCTCTTTAAAACGTTAGATTCATCCAAGGTATCATAAGACTAAAGCCGAAACTATATCGACCGCGATTACAGCACCATCTACCGAAAATCCGAAAGAAAATTAAGGACAAAACTTGAGGTTTTTGTGACATAGAATCCGCATTTGTAATAAGTAAGTAAGTAATAATTGTAAATTAAAATTTCAAATTTACTACCGGTGAGTTGGGGTTGGCGTTTGATGTTATTGATCAAATGTGTAATTCTCGCGTTACTCCACTGTTTCCATACTTTTTGGACACCACATGTCTGTCTTCTCGTTTCTCATATTGCTATTTGATAATATAGTGGCCCTACTACTGTAAAAATAGATGCGCTGCAGGCGACTATTGATGTTTCGCTAAATTTCACCCAACAGCCTGCACCTTGCGCCCATTTCTTTCTAAACAGCGATTTCCACCTAGTTAATTCGTTTTCGCAAAACATTTAACCGGATCTAAGCATATTTTTAGAAAATGCTGCCATAAAAATCTTATCCAAACTTATTGACGATCTGTCAGCAGCCGTGTTGGTCGTTGAATGCCGCAAGGTATTTCATAGTTGCTTCGTTAGTTCCTTTATTATCCGCATGGGTAGAACCTCTATGTCTCTAGTAGTTATATGACACTATATCATCAAGCTGGAGATATGGTACAAAACGTTTGAAATAATTGAACTAGATTGAACTACCGTTCACGTCGTTAAAACAGAGGATAAATGTAAAGTTTAAATTGTGTTGGCGGCGTTACCTAGACTAGGAGCAGATTGAAGTATTAAAATGTATTAGATGTTTCATTCAACAATTAGCAAATTGATAAAAACGGAACTGCTCAAAATGTTTTGCCAGAAAGACTCAACTAAGCTTAATTCATCGACTAAATATTTTCCCAAAATATACACTAAGCTGAACAAAGGAACTTATGCACCAGAAATACGTTTTTTTTTATATAGTTATCATTGTATCGATTTGGACGCGCAGGGAGATGATGCGGTTTTGTTTTTTAAATTTAATTAATGTATTGATAAGATAGTCTTGGGTCCGTTATAAGACTGTTGTTAATAAACCCTCCACTTTAAATTTAATTTATTCACCTAATTGGTACAGGTATAGAGACCTGCAACTTGAATTTTCTCATAAATTGCCGCAACCAGAACTTGCTGCCAACGTTTACAAGGTGTCTTATCACACACGCACCAGAAAGATACAAGCCATCCTGGACGAAGCTAGCAAGGCCCTACTCCAAGACCAGATCAGGCGGACCCGGTATGATATTAGTGAGACTGAGCGACAACTTTTCAGACCTTATCTGAAACTAAGCAACGAGATCCATCCTGGATTTCTTTTTCTTTTTTTGTCATACTTTTCTTCTTCTTTAGCTTAAATTTATTCCTCATAATATTAATATTTTCTTCAATGCTACTGAATTCAATCAAGCATGTTTTAACGCCAATTTGTCTTGCCATATTCAGTTCCCAATTTCTTTTTGATAAAGTTTTCCATTGACTCCATAGACAATCCTTCTTTCTCACTCAAGTCTATCAATTCTCTCAGAAAGCTCCGTAGTTTCATGTTTAAACTGAATGCGAATAGGTCTGCAATATCTGGTCGAGGAACGTCTGGGATTTTGCCACATAACCAATTTCTTTTTAGAGTTAAAATCACCATTAACTAATTGAATTGGAACCATTGCTGTAAAAACAATATTGGCATCTGAAACACTGGAATCTGAAAACTGTTGTTTATATTGGCTCATCCTATAACTAGAACACACCCCATTTACAAATTAAATTTAGATTTTTACACTCATCAGGTTTTAGAGAGTTTAAAACTTCTCACATAATCTCAAAATCGTATGATCCAACAAATTTTGTAGGGGCACTTTTTTTTGCAGCAGTGATGGATTCATAATTTACGTAGAGGGATGAATTATGACTTTTTGCAGAAGTTCTCATTAAATTATACTGAAACTTTGTCAGTTTAGCTTTCACAAAAAAGGACAAAGCTTCGTCTGTTGAAAATAGTACCTCGCAATCTTTTTGAAAAGCTTTCTTATATTTTTTTGCACGAGTGGGTGTGGTAAAAGCAACATCTTTTAACATCTCTTCTGCATTTGGGCAGCAGAAACCAATTCTTCAGAAGTTTTGTTCGCCCACTTGAAGATAAAAAATCCTGCTTTTGGTGTTGTACTTGAAAATAATTGAATAATTGAAGAAGAAAATTTTAATTCGGTTTCCAGCCAATCAGAATTTTTATTTTTAAACGCAGTTTTATTTCTAGATGCTGCTGACCATCTTGCGTCATATTTTTCTAATAATTTGGATAGACTCTTATGAGACTTATTGGACAAATCTTGGGTGTTCATTGTAGAGGTCAATTTCTGTACTATATATTGGTACTGCACCTTTCTGTTAGTAGAGTTGCAATCTTTTAGCCATTCAATGAGTTTAATCCTTTTAAAAAAGGCCGATTTGGCTGTAGAGCCTAAAAAAGACACAACAATATATATTATAACACCTCTATGAAACAATTTTAGTAGCATATAAAAATACACAGAATATTCAACAACAAATCGGATTTGGTACTATTCAGTCGAACCTAACTGTTTATAAAAATAAAAATTGTTTTACACCCAATTAGAATTTTCTTCTTTAAGAACTTAATTAATCCCAATAACAACAACAAAAAAGATAAGGTCAATAATTATTCATTGAATTTGTATCATTAAATGAGCCTACCAAAAAAAAAGGAAACCGAAACAGGTAAGCTCAAGTACAGAAACCCTTAATTATTTCCAAAACTCAAAATATGTTTCGGGACTTTTACGCGTCAAAAGCGGTGTTGTGAAGCTTAATAATAAAAACAAAATTTTAAAATTACCAGACCT